TAGGGAAAGTGTTTCCTTTTTCCATTTAGAAAACTGGCCACTGATTCCTACTCTTTGTCCATCCCAGGACAGACAATCTCCAAGTGTGATTTACTTTCCACCTCATCATCCCCTCTGGCCTTTCAGAGTCCAGAGAATTGGTTTCTCTTTTTCATTTACTGATGCATCAAGGATAGACTTTGCCATAAAAGCAATTTTACCCCCTTTGATTTTTTTGGTGCTAACATGATGTTAAGAGCAGGAGCGGCTCTAGATGAGCTGCCAGCAACTGGCGCCCTAGGCGAAATGCGCAATTGGCACATGATCGGCGCCCCCACCTCCAAACCCCTCAATGGCCATTTAATTTGGCACCCTAGGCAACCACCTAGTTCATGCCTATGGACGGGCTGCCACTGGTTAAGAGTTTGCAAAATCCTGGCTCTACTTGTGAGCAGTTGGGTCTGTTTACTCAGCTTCTCTCTGCTTTTGGAACAAATAAATTAATCTACCTGAGTGTCCTAGAACCCAAGTGTGTGCCATTCTCACCCCTCAGTTAAATAGAAGCATAATCTAGTTATGAACCAATTGACCAGCACCATTCTCTTTCCTCAGTCTCAGACACTTAACTCACTTTCCCCTCCTCCATCCCTTGTAGGTACCTTTGAACTTCCTCAGAGTCTCTGATAGCTCAATATTTATCTGGAAGAAACCTCTGACTCGCTCTTCCAGTTCAGGATAAATCACATCTGGTGGCTGGAACTGCCCCGTCTCGCATCTGGAGAGAAATAATGTCACATAGTGATACTGCACTGGGTGACCCAGTTCTTAAGTTCCTGTTAATGAGTCACCGGTCTAATGGGCCTGGAGTTAGAATCTCTCCAATTTTCCAGCCTGAGAGCAGAGGCAGCGCAGCCCTTGGCCATGCAATGTCCCCCTCAAAGGTCCCATTAATAGTCTTTAACTCTTGCCTGGAGAGACCAACTCTGGGGGACAAAAGGGGAATTGAGTCTCCATGGCTAACTTACTCCTTGGCCTCTAGGCTCTGACAGTCAGGAGGTTCCCAGGTTAAGTGCTGTAGAAATCTGTCATGTAGGAACTAGACTGAGACACCAGATCCCCCCTTTCCAGCCCATTCCACAAAAGTGTCCAAACAGACCTTGGATGGGACAGACTCTTGGTCCCTGCTGCCCTGGGTGAATGGTGCCCAGTGCCCAGCAGTGACAGGCCCATGTTCCACCCCACAGTCCAGTGGCAGCCAGTCCCCAGGGAGGTGACAGCTCTAGGAAACACTTGAGGTCAGACTGTGCCCCTGAATGGGGAATTCCAGAGTCTGCTGTGCAAGGGTGAGATCCTCAGGCTGACGCTGATCAGAGATTTGTGCCCAGCCTGTGACCTTCCTCTCACATCTGGCTGTAGAGCCATGGAGAGAACATAAGAACGGCCATTCTGGGTCAGACCAAAGGTGCATCCAGCCCAGTGACCTGTCTGTTGATAGTGGCCAATGCCAGGTACCCCAGAGGGAGGGAACTCAACAAATAATCATCATGTGATCCCTCCCCTGTCACCCATTTCCAGACAAACAGAAGCTAGGGACACCATTCCTACCCATCTTGGCTAATAGCCATTGTTGGGCCTAAGTTCCATGAATCTATCTAGCTCTTTTTTAAATCCTGTTAAAGTCCTAGTCTTCACAACATCCTCTGGCAAGGCGTTCCATAGGCAGACTGTGTGATGTGTGAAGAAAAAAAGAGAGTTACTCACCCTGTGCAGTAACGTTTTTTTGAGATGTGTGTCCTCATGGGTGCTCCACTCTGGGTGCTTATGCGTTCTTGCACCAGCAACCAGAGATTTTTCTAACAGTGCCCCTGCCTCGCTGCACACACGCCCTGGAGCCTTCTCATGCCATTGGTGTCCGTTAGGCATGAATGCAGCACAGCCCCCTCTGTTCCTTCTCAGTCCTTGTCACTGGACCCAGAAGGCTCCAAAGCAAGGGAAGGAGGGAGGGTAGTGGAGCACCCATGGGGACACACAACTTAAAGAACCCCCTGTCGTTCCTCAGTGTTCTGTACCTCGGTACCTTCGGTGGTCTGAACAGTCAATGTCAGCATCGTCTGGTCAGGGTCATCCTGGCGCACTCCTGACAGGACCTCTACTCCTACGGGGATGATAAACTTTCCGCTGCGTGTGTAATAATCGGTACTCCCTTTATCTAGGGTTTTAGACCCCGTGCTCGAGTCAACATAGGAGATCTCTGAGAGGCCCCGGAAATGATAGATGCAGGCAAGGTTTGAAATAAATCAAGCAGGTTTATTGTCAAATGCCAAGCTCTACCAGTTGGTAACAGAGATCAGTACAACGTTATACCATTGGGCACTATGGCCCACGTTGACAAGGTACCAACACCGGGCAGACCTATTGCCATATAACAGATATTAACAGCAGTCAGTCAGAGTTAAGCTACTGTGCATTCTGTAAGTTTAGGCAATGATACCTGCTGTTCAGGTGCCTAGTGTGCCCCCCTCCCCTCCCCAAGGTCGGCCGGAGAACACCCTTTGCAGTGTCCTTTTATAGACAGGTCCAAACTTACATCATTTCTTTACCTACCAGGTTACCACTCTCTGTTGCCTAGTTACCACCCCATACCTTACGGAAGGAGGAATAACTTACCATCCTTCATGCTGTCAATCTCAACCTGGTCCTGAACCTAGGTAGGTATGTTCATTAGTTTTGGGGGAGGCTTTGTACCAAGACATTTCTTATTAAGATGTTTCACTACTCCCCTTTGGCTTACAGTCTGTAGCCAGTGCCTCCCTGTGTCCTTCCATGCTCTACCTAACTTACACAATCACACAATTATCAATAGGGTCTCTTTCTTGGTTCCTGTGTTCCTGAACCAAAGTCTTGCTTTCTAGATTCTAGGCCTGTTGCTGCTTTCATGTTACAGGCCTCTATTCAGGCCTGCTGACTCCATGTTACTGACCCTCAACTTACTACACCCCTATTACTGCACAGGATGAGTAACTCTCTTTTCTTCTTCGAGTGATATCCCTATGAGTGCTCCACTCTGGGTGACTACCAAGCAGTAGTCAAATTGTGGAGGCAGGTTTGGAGCTCTGTCCCTGGAGCTGAGGATAATGATGCTTTTCCATCAGCCATAGATTATATGATGGCAGAGGTAAGCATGTAGGCTGTGTCTACACTAGCGTGATCTTGTGCCAAAGTGGCCACTCTTGCGCAAAAACTTGCTGCCTGTCTACACTGGCCGTGTGTTCTTGCGCAAGTAAACTGACGTTCTACTGTATGAAATCAGGGCTTCTTGCACAAGAACTATGATGCTCCCGCTCAGGAATAAGCCCTTTTGCACAACTGTTCTTGCGCAAGAGGTCAATGTAGACAGGCGACATGAATTTCTTGCACAAGAAAGCGCTATGGTTAAAATGGCCATCAGAGCTTTCTTGCGCAAGGGAGAGTCTACACTGGCATGGATGCTTTTGCGCAAAAGAACATCTCTTGTGCAAAAACACATGCCAGTGTAGACGATCTCTTGCACAACTACTTTAACGCAAGAACTCTTGTGCTAAAGAGTTTTTGCACAAGATCATGTCAGTGTAGATGTAGCCCCAGTGTTTTGCAAATGTGTGATCGAATGACCATGTGGCATCCTTGCAAATGTTCTCTAGAGGCACATTTTTGGGGAAAGCAGTTTGAGGCCACAACCTAGTTGAGTATGTGGTGATAGCGTTTGTTTGCTGAAGGACCATTTGCTTTGTACAGTATAGGGTCCGAGATGAGCCCCCATCACATAAGGGATGCATTGGTAGTAATGGTGACTGTCAGGGCCAGCTGATGAAATAGTATGCCCCGTAGTACATTGTGTGGATGCATTCACCATTCCAATGAACTGAAGATACGTGGTGGGATGGTGACTGTCTTGGAGAGGGAGTCCCTGGAAGGGGTGTAAAGTGTGGCCAGCCAGGACTGGAGGCATTTCATGTGTAGCCTGGCCAATCAGACCATATAAGTGGTGGCCTATTCATGGACTGTTGTAGCAGAGGTCGCATGTGACACCAGTATGAGGTTGTAAACAACCTCAAATCTCTGCACGGGCAGAGTTGCCTTGGCTGCGATGGTGTTGATGTGAGCTCCTATACATTTTACAGTTTGAGTAGGGTGAAGTGTAGACTTCTGGTATGGAAACCGAGATGAAGTAGAAGACCCATGGTATTGTTGACTATGTCTTGCATTTCCAGGAAGGATGTGCCTTTTATGAGACAGTCATCCAGGTATAGGAATATTATGACTCCCCGATGGCGTAGGAATGTCACAACAATGGCTAGAGTCTTGGAAAAAACTCTAGGAACTGTTGAAAGGCCAAAAGACAGTACTCGATATTGGTAATGGTGTATTGGTAATGATTCCCCACTGAAAATCATAGAAAATGCCTGTGGGCAGGATGTATCATTATGAAAATAAGTGTTCTAATGGTCAAGAGCTGAAAGCCATACCCCTTGATCTAGCTCTGGAATAATTGTTGTTAGTGTTACCAGCTTGAACCATTGGTATGCGATGTACTTGAGCCTACTTAAATCCAGAATGGGTCTCCATCCACCATTCTTCTTCTGAGTTAGGAAGTATGTTGAGTAAAACCCTCTCCCTTGAAAAGCCGTTGGTACTGGCTCTATCACACCTATGTGTAGGAGGTGGAGGACCTCTTGTTGAAGGAGGGTCTTGTAAAAGGGGTCCATGAAGAGGGACAGGGAGGGAGGGTGGTTAGGAGGACGAGAAATAAAGGGGATGGAGTAACCCACTTTGATGAGTTCCAATACCCATTGGTCTGATGTTCTTTGTGCCTATTGGTGTAAAAAGGGCTGGAGGCAATGGTTGAACTTGTAACTATTTGGTTGGGGGTGTGACAGTAGTAGGGATGTCTTTCTGGCTCTCGACCAAACCATCAAATCTGCTGCTTTGATAAAGAAGTGGAGGGTTGCTATTGTTGGCGCTGAGGTCTGTGCTGTTGAGGCCTGTGTTTCTGGTGGAAGTCGTATCTGGACTGTGTTCAGTATGGTTCCCTGGCCTTTGGTAGGTGTTATATCTTGTTCTCTTGAAAGGGGGTGCATACATGTCCAGAGGGTCATGCGGGAGTCTTCATTGAATGAAGGACTTCATCTGTTTTCACGGCAAATAGGTTGGTCTTGTCAAAGGGAAGGTCTTCTACTTTCTGCTGAAAGCCCCTAAGTACTCCCAGACGCTTGGAGCCATGATGCTCTCCACATAGCTGAGACTGTGACCCAGGCAGCAGTATCATAGAATCATAGGGCTAGAAGAGACCTCGGGAGGTCATCAAGTTCAGACCCCTGCCCAAAGCAGGACCAATCCCAACTAAATCAACCCAGCCAGGGCTTTGTCAAGCCGAGACTTAAAAACCTCTAGGGATAGATATTGCACCATCTCCCTAAGGAACCCATTCCAGCACTTCACCACCCTCCTAATGAAATAGTTTTTTCTAAGATCCAACCTAGACCTCCTCCACTGTAACTTGGGACCATTTCTTCTTGTTCTACCAATTGTCACTACTGTGAGCAGCCTCTCCCCATACTCTTTGGAACCTCCCTTCAGGAAGTTGAAGGCTGCTATCAAATTCCCCCTCACTCTCCTCTTCTGCAGACTAAATAAGCCCATATCCCTCAGCCACTCCTCATACATCATGTGCTCCAGCCCCCTAATCATTTTGGTTACACTCCACTGGACCCTTTCCAATGCATCCACATCTTTTCT